CATCAGTCTTCTGTCAGCCTATTATTGTGTACTAGACATGCCACCATCCTGAACTGACTGCTTTTCTAGTAAGCATCTTGTCAAAGAAAGCTACGCTGGAAATTCACCGTCTGCTCAGAGACTACATGGACCTAAAGGGCAGAAAGCAATGGTAGTATCAGAGAACAGCTTTTCTAGGTGAAGCAAGCAAGAGGAAATCGGGGCATGATGTCAGTGTAACGCAGTGGAGCCCCGACTAGGCCTTTTTTTTAATTAATTTTTTTAAAATTTAAATTAGAAACAAGCTTGCTTCACATGTCAATCCCAGCTCCCTTTCCCTCCCCTCCTGTCCCGCCCCCACCAACCCCCCCAGGTCCCCACCCAATTCCCACTTTGCTCCTCAGAGAGGTTGAAGCTCTCCATGGGGATCTCCAAAGTCTGTCATATCATCCGGGGCAGGGCCTAGGTCCTCTCCCATGTGTCCAAACTGAGAGAGCATCCCTCCACTTGGAATGGGATCCCAAAGTCCATTCGGGTACCAGGGATAAATACTGATCTAGTACCTGAAGCCCCATATATTGCCGAGGACTCCTCACTGATGCCCACATTTAGGGGGTCTGGATCAGTCCTATTCTGGCTTCTCAGCTTCTCAGCCATCAGTCTGGGGTTCATAAGCTCCACCTTGTTCAGGTCAGCTGTTTCGTGGGTTTCACCAGCCGGGTCTTGACCCCTTTTTGCTCATCACTCCTCTCACTCTGCAACTAGGTTCCAGGATTGGACAGGGCTTTCATGTACTGTGTGGGAGGTCATATGGACTCAGAAAGCTAGGTTGTAGATGCAACGTTGATATTAAGGTGTTTGATGTTGGCTTGGATGGAAGCTTTTAGACAAGAATGGGAGGATCTGGCTATATTTCCAAAAGACGAGGGGACGTGACTTCTGTTTAGAGCAAAATTCAGATATACGCATCGCTGAAAGCAAAGACACTAGACTGGAAGCAAAGCCATGGTCAGACCAAAGCGGCAATGGCAGACCAAGGATACATTGTGTATCCTTATACTCATTTCTCCTAGAAGCATATGAAAGAAAGTTTCTGTTGCTTGTGTCTGTTCTACACATCTCTAAAACCTGAATCTTTGCAATGATTTTGGACTAAACAACAAGGGTGGGTAGATTTAGAAAAGGTTGGGTTAACAGGCTTGTGGACCTGAACCATACACCGGATTCTCATGCTAACTTTCAAATGTTTATTGCCTAAGTAATTATGTCCATTAAATTAGTAAATGTGAGTCTAAACAGCAGAGTCAAGTCTCCGCTAGGGCTATAAACTACGGAGTCACCAGCTTATATATACACTTAAGAATATGAGTAAATATGAGATCAGTGGGGAGTGGAGGATGAAGTCAGGAATGATGATTAACATTAAACTTTTCCACATCCTGCGCTGGACGTCAAAAATAAAGTAAAATAAAATGAGAAGACACATGTAATATTTTAAGAATGACTAGTCAAGGTTAAAAATCAGAAATGTCTTAATCTAAAAGTCCAGAGATTTCCTGAAGGAGAAGTGATAGAGCATGGCAAGAATGTTGTTGTTGTTGTTTGTTTTCCACTAAAAACTACAGACCTATAAGGATTTAGGAGAAGGAGAGGAGGTGGGAGCAGATTTAAGGTTTCAACTTATGTGTGTTCAGTTTCTTGATGAGCTACCTCATCAATTCAGGATCTATCTGTCTCTATCCCAAATTTGGGGGTTCTCTGCTTTGTCTAACAAGGAAAACAGGAATCATTCCCTTACAAAATAAGAAAAACCTAGCAAATAATAATGACACGGACTTTCTTTAGTTTAAGCAAAAATTTATCATAAGGGAAATAAAGGAATAGGAATGTATAGCTCTATATTTAATTCAGTTTAAAGTTGCTTGCTTTCTTTTGCATAAAAGATGGAGCAGAAGATTGAAGTAAGTGATGACAGCTATTCGACCAAAGAACAAAGGGCATGTTCCATAGTGCAATACATCCTTACACATGACCCATGAAAAAAGAAGTGAACTCTGCATGCGATTCTAAGACAACAAGGCCAGAGAAGGTTTAATGTGAGGAAGAGAGCCGAGTTGAAATTGGAACCATCTCTTTGAGGTGGTAGTTTTTGAGTTGTTTTAACACATTCCTCTCTTGTGTTACACTGTGCTCATGAGGGGGTCATTTCATATGGTTGACAGGTCTAGCGATAATAAGCGCAGATGAGCTGGAACTGAAATTTGTGACATGACTTCCGGCAATGAGTGCCAGAACACACATGAGGAGTTCAACCTGAGTTGCTAAACAAGAACAGATCCCACACAGAGAATTATCCTAGTCTAAACCCTCTAATCGTAGTTTAAAAAAAGGCGTCATAGAAGGCTATTTTATTATGCTGTTTCCATGGCATTATTTTTCCAGAACATATTGAAAACACACATGTTAAACATTCTGTAATGATGGTAATGATACAAGAAAGCTTCTTTATTATTAACTTTGAGGAGAATTAAAGACATCTTTGAATACAGTTAATATTAAATGTAGTAATTTTGCACCAAATTTCTCTGCAATTTTTTTACTGTTGACATTGAAGAGGAGGGGGCTTGAAACTTTTAAGCCAATTTAACTTCTTAAATAACTAATTAGAATACTTGAAACCTATGACAGGTGCCTGTTTTAAAGGACACTGTGGATAACTCTTTTGGAGAAATCATGTTCATTGTTGGTGACATTGAGATGATTCTCTATCATGTTGCTTTTGGCAATTGTGAACAGTATTTGTGGTTTATTGTCAGTGATTTCATAAGTAAATTACCTTAAGGGTCATGACAAGAACATCTCTTTGTCTCTAGTCTGTGATGCTGGGAGTGAAAGTAAGACCCAAGACTTAGTTTTACTTTATACAGCTGCAGATCAGCTAAGTAGCTCTTTAGATATATTATGATAGTGATATATCAATTATTTTGTTTTGTTTTGTTTCTTCAAAACAGTGTCACTCTATATAGTGCTGACTGCTTGGGAACTCCCCTTGTAGACCAAGCTGTCCTCACACTCGCCGAGACCCTTCTGCCTCTGCCTCCAAAGTGCTGTGATTAAAGTTGTGTGCCACTACTCCCACATTGAAACTTCTATTCTTTAAATCTTGTCTCATCTTAATAGTTTTCTGACATTGACAAAAATGTAATCATACGGAATCTGTTTGGTGTAAGACACTTTAAACAGAACACATTGGGCTTCCTATAACATGAAGTACCACGTGTTAATTGACACCAATCCATGAACAGCATCCTTACCACACCAGATTATTGTTGATTTTCTGAAAGAAAAATTGTCACTAGCTAACAAAAGCATGTGACATCTCCCCCAAACAGTTCATTCAGAATCCTAATTATGATTCTACTCACTTAGCTTATATTCAGTTCAGTAGACATTTGAGTGACTATTTTACTTCAAGCATCAGAAATTCTATTAACAAATCTGAGTTAAGGAGGAATACTAACAACAAAATTAAAAATTACAGCAGTGAAAAGTATCCTTAGCGGTTTGCATGAATAGCTGTCTCTGGGTTAGCAGTGAGTACCCTGGCATTCACAATCTGGTTTAGACTGAAAGGATCTCTGTCAACAAGGAGTATTGGAAGTGAAGGGAAAATAACATGCATGGTTGGTTATCTACTTCAGAATATTTTAAATTCACTTTACAGTTGACCTTTTAACACATAGACTGTAAAAGTAATTTTTATGTCTGTTTATGTTCTTTGAATAAATACAGTAAAACTGAATAAATTGGTGAGTGTTCACAAAGAGCATGCCTGAGAACTGAAGACTAGAAGTGTCTATGTGAAACTGAGGCAGAGACAACACAGCAATAGGAAAATTTTCCTCTTGAAATTCTTATCAGTCATATTTATTTCAACTTAAATTTCTGGCAGTCAGTCCTTCAGGTGGAAAAAGAAATCAGAAAGTAAATATTTAATATCATGAATATTACCCAGACTCAACACTTCTATTTAACATACAAACTGTCAGAGAAATAATACTGCTTGTATTCTTTTAAATATTTAAACATAACATAGAAGGGTTACATAAAACTCCATGAATTAAGGCAAAAGAGTGCATTATGAATAACCCTGGAGCAAAAGGAAAAGTCCTAAACATTAATAAAGAAAGGAATGTTTTTCTGACTTGCTATATAAAGAATGAAAACTTTGGAAGATTCATTGAGCAAACATGGTCATGATGGTACAAATTAGAGCAATATTTTGAGAAATGAATTTTCCACCTAAGTAAACACATCCCTTCATTCATGTTACTAAATGAGAACATTTGACGTCAATGAAGGTTCTTACACTCATGTGTAGACTTTTAGCACTAATTTTTCAAAACTGGTTAAATGATCATATAAACACAAGAAATCAGCAATAAAAATTGTCTTTAAAAAGTTGCATTTTGGACATTCCAAAAACATAGATTCTATATTTGGAGTCATTCAAATTATTTAGATAAAAGCATTGGGTTGTTAGGTTTTTAGTATAACTCCATTTTTTAAGGAGATGATGCCATTGCTAATGATATTCGTTATCATGTTTCCAGTCAGGCCATTTGTTACACATGTTAAACATTTGAGAAGTATTTTCTTTAATGTCAACTAAATGCACATTTTAAGGTACAATAATCTTACGGATTTATGTGACAACCTAGTTTCTTAGAATTTCTGTAATTAATCCTTTCAATAATTTTAGTTAATTTGCTTCCTGCTTTTAATGTGTTAGTTGTATTTTCTGAAAACATGGAAAATTAAATAATTCATAATTATCACTTAGTTTGGTTAACATTTTTAAATTATCAACTCATTAGCAACCCTCATTTTTGTTGCTATTAAAATATTTTTATTGAAGGGTTATGAGATGTCACCATGTATTATTGAATCCATGATATGAAATGCCAAAGTCATGTTACTTTGATGTGCTATTAGGAATAGAAAACATGAGGTGGGGAAACATGGCTGTCCCAGCCGCGTCTGGGCTGTCCCGACAGGTGCGGAGCTTCAGTAAGTCGGTGGTCAATCCCTTCTCCAAGCTTGTGAGGCCCCCAGTTCAAACATATGGCATCAAGGGTCGCTATGCTACTGCCCTCCATTCTGCTGCAGCCAAACAGAACAAGCTAGACCAGGTGAAAAAGGAGCTGGGTCGCGTGGGACAACTCCTGAAGGACCCCAAGGTGTCTCTTGCTGTTCTGAGTCCCTACGTCAAGCGCTCCATCAAAGTGAAAAGCCTGAGTGACATCACAGCAAAGGAGAGGTTTTCTCCGCTGACAGCCAATCTCATGAATTAACTTGCTGAAAACCGTCGCCTAAGCAATACTGAGGGCATCATCTCTGCCTTTTCCACCATCATGAGTGTCCACCGTGGAGCAGGGTCTTGCATGGTGACCACAGCATCTGCTCTAGATGAAGGTGTTGTCTCTGAGTTAAAGGCAGTGCAGAAGAGCTTCCGGGGTCAAGGCCAAGTATTGAAACTGGAGGTTAAAATTGACCCGTCAATCATGGGTGGGATGATTGTCTGAATTGGGGAGAAATATGCCGATATGTCCTCAAAGACCAAGACTCAGAAACTCAGCAAGGCCATGCGGGACTTGCTCTAAAGTTTGTGTCACCTGTGGGGGCTCTGCTCTGAGTCTGTCACCTATGCAGGCTCTGGTCCTTGGAGCAACAATAAAAGGCTTCCTGAACAGAAAAAGAAGAAGAAGAAGAAGAAGAAGAAGAAGAAGAAGAAGAAGAAGAAGAAGAAGAAGAAGAAGAAGAAGAAGAAGAAGAAGAAGAAGAAGAAGAAGAAGAAGAAGAAGAAGAAGAAGAAGAAGAAGAAGAAGAAGAAGAAGAAGAAGAAGAAAGAAACAAAGAAAGAAAGAAAAGAAAGAAAAGAAAGAAGGAAAGAAAACATAAGGTGGGCGTGGTGGCACACACCTTTAACCCTAGCACTCGGGTTGCAGAGGCAGGTGGATCTCTGTGAGTTCGAGGTCAGTCTGGTCTACAAAACAAGTTCCAGGATAGTCAGTATTGTTACACAAAGAAACCCTGTCTGAGTGAAAAGACAGACTCTAGATATCCCCTATGTGGAAGGAAGTGGTGATAGGGTGGGAGGCTGGGAGGGATTGTGGGAGAGGTGCAGGAGGAGGGAAGGGAACTGGGATTGACATGTAACGCAAGCTATTTAAAATTAAAATAATAAAAGAGAAAAATTAAAAAAAGAAACCCTGACTTTAAGCCCCCACCCTCCCCAAAAAAACAAATAGAAAAGATGGTTTTAATTAAACCACAGTCAAAGCAGACATCATCAAAATTACAATGAATCTTGCCCCCAAATATTTTAAGTACATTTTGGATGTGATAGAACTCAGATATACTCAAAGTAATTGTGACTACTAAAGTATAGAGCACAGATTGGCTATCTTCCTCTTCTCGCTATATTACTTTAGCTGGTTGTCACTGCAATTAGTTATGGCCATCTGACAGAGTCTGACTGTGGGCTGCTGCGATATATTATACTTAAGAGTATGTTTTTAAAGACCACCTACCCATAAGTAACAGCCCAAGTCCTTCCCCCTTCTGCTTGGTGCTGTGATGTTGAGAAAAACACACATACACACACACACACACACACACATTCCATATATAGTAGCATATACATACGTAAACACACACATATATATCCCATATATGTATCATACACATAAATGCATGCACACATAAACACATACACACGTAAATATACACACATATACTTCAGCCCATATTCAATGTTTATTCTCCTGTCTTCACATCATGGGTTTGAGATTATAACTGTGTACCTCTATATCCTGCCAGCCCCATGATACTGAAGAAACTTACTAATAAAATATATCCATCTTAAGACTGAAAATCAGGTGTTGTTTAGTTCCTTACTAATAAGCATACAACAACAGAGTCATCAAATACTCGCTAGCAGACAGTGCTATAAAGTAAATCAGGAAATGTTGTAAATGTTGTAAGAGCAGAAACTGTCTTTTGAAATACAAAGCCTTCTTGTAGGTAAAAAACAGTCTGCTTACCAGTGTGCATCCACAGCAGGGAACAAGATCAACAACCTGTTACATGGAATAATTTGGAGTACTATGAAGAGTTACTTGGAAATATCTACTAAATTCATAAAGGGAAGAGAAGGCAAAAGAGGGGAGGTAAAGGGGGACAAAGGAGAGAATGGATGGAGAGGAACAGGAATAAGAGAGGATTGGATGGAGAAAGAGTTGGAGAGAAAGAACCAAATAAAGCCCACAGACTGGAGCATAGAAGATGCTAGCCTATCCTATCCTCTCTTATGGGAAGGGAATTTGATTAAATTTTTAAAAAAATCTTCTCATGAACTAAAAAAGATTTTAGTTATCTTTACCTATACAGCAAATTGTTTAATTATGTCCTGGTTTTTAACATATAGTAATATTCCACAAAAGAAGAAATTTCTGAACATCTCCCATATGACCCACATTTTTAATACATAAAAGCCATAAAAGTATGTTCTCAGTATCTCTTCCATTTCTCTTCTTCTTTTTACCACCTGTTTTTCTCCTCCTCCTCTTTTTGTCTTCTTGTGAAGATATTGGAAAACATCGATGTGATAGAACAATTTGTAGAAATAGGACAATTCTTTCAGTTAGTACATGTAGGGATTTGCTTGCTGTTGCAAATTTCCCTGTCCGTGCCATGCCTGTTTCAAAGCTGGCTCCATGGGGACTGTTTATTGGGATTAGCCTCTCCAGAGAGTTTGTTCTTGCCCTGCACCTGGTTGCATCTTATTTTGTATATTAGTTGTGAGTATTTTTTGCCATTTCCCCAGCCTCATTTTGCTTGCTATCAGTTTGAGATGGACTAAAATGGCTTCTAGTTTCCAAACTCTTAATATTGAATCTTGAGTTTCTCAGTTCTTTATTAATATCTGCCTTAAGAACATGACTTTCTTGGGCTGTTCTATTTAACAATATTTACATTTCAAATGGTCAAGACAATGAAAGGTTATTTCTAATTAATCTTTTTAGTTCCTTGTTGGGGAAGTCCTGTGTATTTGTCAATAAAGCACTGTTGGCCCATAGCGAAGTAAGATAGGTGGAACTAGGAGTCGAGGAGGACTCTGGGTAGGAGAAATACAGGGAGTCAAGATGTAACGCCATGGGGAGGAAGCCCGGAAAGTTCTCCGGTAAGAGAAATACTTAGATTAACAATTATGGGGTAATTACTTAAGTCAGAGCTAGCCAGTAAGAAACAAGCAAGGCCAACAGCTTCATAATTAATATAGCCTATTGTGTGTTTATTTGGGACTGATGCTGCTCTGCAACCAGGCTGGCGGGAAGGCTTCACTCAAGGAAAATGTTTCTCTTTACATAGTTCCTCCTGAAACTGTTGGTTTGTTACATTTTTATTGAAAATATTTTGTTTATATAATACATTTGGATCATGGTTATTTTTGTCCTTCATCTCCTTCCATAACTTCCCACCTATTCAACTTATGTCTTCTTTATCTTGCTCTTTAGAAAACTAAAAGACAAAAAGGAAAAATATATAAAGAGAAAACATAAGAAACTCACACACACACACACACTCGAGCATACACATAACACAAAAAAAACAAATAATTGGTACATTTTAAGTTTCATTGTTCTTTCTATGTTTCAAGACACTCTAGAACAACAGAGGGAGAAAAATTAGAAAATGATTGTTTAAGTTTTATTTGGAAATTATAAAAATTATGTGTTATTATTTTTCTCACATTTTATCAACCTAATTCCTTCTCTCCATCTAATCAAAGGGCCTCAAGAAATGTACCTCTTCCGATAAGTTGGATGTGGAAATCTATGCTTTACAGACTCAGGAGCTACCACATACTTGGGTGAATATAAGTCAAAGAATGTGATGAATGGATAATAGTACAGTGGACTATGAACAAAGAAAACCAGGACAAGAATGTGCCCAAAGATAAAGCCCTTATGATATAGTCTATGATTTCTATCAACTTATTTCTGGTGAATACAGAAGGATTGCAGTTGGAAAAATACCTTAGTTAGGGTTACTATTACTGTGATGAAAAACCATGACCAAAACAACTTTGGGAGGAAAGTGTAAATTTCCTTCACAGTCCATTAACAGTTCATATCAAAGTAGGGAGGGCAGGGAACTCAAACAGCTCAAGAACCTGAAGGCAGGAGCTGATGCAGAGGCTATGCAAGGGTGAAGCTTAATGATTTGCTCCTCATGACTTGATCATTCTGCTTTCTTATGGAACCTCCTACCACCAGCACCAAGGATGATATCACCCATAATGGATTGGCCATTTCCTCATCAATCACTCATTAAGAAAATGCCCTACAGGTTTGCTTATAGACAGATTTTTTATGGAGGCATTTTCTTTATTGAGGTGTCCTCCTCTCAGATGACTTTAGCTTGAGTCAAGTTGACATAAATCTATCTAGGACAGGGGGGAAAACAGCATTTAGCAAAACTTTTGTATTAATGTTTGAGGATGCAAACAGACAAATATACATATACAAATATAATATGGCTAGTAAGTCAACTATATCTTATTAAAGGGTATGAATTTGGTCACTTTCATTTAATTTACTTTTTGAAATGAGGCACTCAAAAATTGCAACTTCAGTTTTGTCTGGCTATTATGCACCCCTGGAGCTGCAGCTAAATTTCTGAATTTTAAGTTGATTAAATTATAATAGGTGAATAATGGATGAATAAACTCTGTAAAGATATTTTGTGAATTCTACTTAAAATTGATATGCAAACATAAAATGCAATGTAAACTATATCAAACTATCAAGTTTATTGTAGTGAAGCCTAGGATAATTTTAGTAAGGTCATTATTTATTTCCTACATGTTCTAAGAAAAACAGGGAAGAAAAATTGCAGTACTGCCTACCACATACAGCACAGTTCAAACGGCTCATATTTTATTAACTAAATTCACTCTGGATAAGAAAAAAGCAACAAAGTTCATGTAATACAATCATATGAAGAAAATTGAGTTTTTCTAAGCTTCCAGCAATCACTCATAGCAATGTGTGCGTGAATTTACTGGAGAAGAAGAATTAAAGATGTACTGTAGGGATTTAGCACCTCCATAACCTTAAGCATTCTGTCATGCCTCCTTCATCTTCAGCACGTAACGGTTCATATGGACATGAACTTTATGTTAAACTATTGCAACCCTTGGCTCTAAAGTGTTTTCTGAGTCCCCTCCACCTCATGGGCTGATTCTGAACTTCCTTCTTAGACCGCCGTCTCTGCCTTTCCCTTACTTGCTTCTTCTTGATAGCTCATGGACACTCTTACCCTTTTCAGGGGTGTTTAAACTTCTCTGTTTCATTCCTATTCGGGTGACAAGTGTATTTTGCTAAGTCTGATCAGTGTGTAAATGAAATGTTGTTTTCATTTATTAATAGCATTTATTGTAGCTTATGATAGCACTTTTTTGTACCTCATTTTTGTGCCATGACTGAAATGAGAAACTCAAGAATGTTCATGTCGAAAACAAAGGAAACCAATGATCTCATGTTCTACCAAAGACAAGATAATTAAAGGGGAGTGTGGAAAAGAATCGAAGGAGTCT